ATACAGATAATTGGTAGCAAATAGAGTTCACCCTAATGTGCATATTGATCATTTTATTATTTTAAAGATCTCAAGTGAGAAGACAAAAATTGATTTAATATGTATAAAAATTATGTCAATTTGCTTCTCTCTTTTAGTAACAGATCAAAGCCCCTTATATACCAGAATTACATGAATGTATGCAAGTTCCTTTCTATTTCAAAACATTTTTGAAATTAAGGTCATCTATAAATGTTAATAGAAATTGCTAACATCTTTTGTAATAAAATTTGTAGTGTTATAAAGTCACAGTAGTATCCGATTTTCCTTGCCTCTATGTCAAAACTAGTTCTTCTATCCCTTAGTATAACATCTTTCATTCTCCTTATGTTACTTTATATAACCTCTTGGTAATTAGATATTATTTCTCTGACTGAATAATGTGAGCAGTATTAATTGTACTCACAATATCAGGTGTAACCACTTCATTAGCAACTAATGAATAATTTGCTGTTAATCTCACCCCAAATTTTTAAGCTTTTCTTTTCTTTTTTAGCACACGTTTTATTTCTAAAGACGTTCACGGTATTATTATATGGAAAAATCAATTTAAAATGTAATTAGCAAATTAATCCATGATGGTGACAGAATAATAAATCCATAATGTAGTTAACTTCTCTCACTACATATTTATAAGTTTTCCTAGTGTTCAGAGTTATCTTCTGTTGGGAATAATGGCTATTCAGGAACTCATTAACTCATTTGTTCAGCAGATCTTTATGGGATCTCGACCTCATTTCAGACACTGCCCTCAAGAAATTCCTTCTGACCAGTAATCTTGTTCACACAGCTGTAAAATAGCATCCAGACCTCCCCTTGAGCTCCAGACCCTTATATCCAACTCCCTACAAGACAACTCCAGTTAGATGTTCCAGGTACTTCAAATTCAGTGAGCACCCTGAATCCCAGGGACTGAGTTATGTGCCCCATTCTTATACCAGCATTTCACCCTCTGGGCTTGCTCCCAAAAGAAAGCAGGAGAACAGCACTAAGCCAGCTATTCTAGGCCACAATATGAACCAGGTTTGGGGATCCTCCAAACCTCTCTCTATTCCTTTACTAAAGTAAGTAAAGGAATAAAGAGAGGACCAAAATGTGTTTAAGTAAACACATTTTGATTTCAACAAAGTCAAGAGTAGGGAAAAGCTCTTCCCTGCCTGGCACAAGGGGAGGCCTCCAGTCTCTACTCCAGCACTACTAACAATTGTTCTCACTGGTCAGTGCCCAGACTATTCAGCTTCTCTCCAAAGCCCCACATATCATTTCTGCTTTCACCCATCCAGGATTAACTGCTATAAGAATTTCCCTTCTACTAAAAACAATTAGAAAACAGGGCAAAATAAATAAAATGATTATTCATAGACTTTGGATGATAGGCAGCACAAGGCCAATACTGAAGGAAAGCAAACAAGTAAGTGAAGCCCTATGATTGTCCTAGAAACCTGAAGGCAGTTTCTAGGCTACAGTGCAGAGAAGGGGAACGAAACAGAGATGATAGTCTTGAGGAACTGTTGAGACACATATGGAAGTTCAGAGAGGCTGAAATGCCTAGGATTTTTAGGACAGAGTAAGGAAGAGGAGGGAGCTGCCTGGAAAGAAAATCTGGATATCTGAAAGGGTTTTTTTAATTGAGTCTTTGACTGATGACCAATTTGCATATGATGGGGTTTTAAACTATGAAGCCAGGAAAAGTTACTGAAAATCAGGAGGCTGAATATTCCTAGAGCTTACTTATGTCTCAAAATAGTTTGTGCTTCCATAAGCCAGAGTTGAGAGGTATTATAATACATAATTAGGCAGAGTCTTCAGAGAAGTCATGCTTTAAAAGTGAGGATAAATTGACTCTAGAGTTAAGGCTGCTCTGAACTTTCCTGAACAAAGATAAAAAGCAACTTTCAAAAGGATTGAGTGAATGAATTAATGTAAATATTTCCCAGAACAAAGTTCAGTGTTCCTTAAAAAAAATATATATATAAAACTCACTTATTAAAATGTAAAATTAACTATGCCTAGCAGTCAATAAAAAATTACTAGGCATGTAAAAAAGAAGAAAAATACGACCCATACTAGAAGGAAAATCAATAAATAAAAACAAGCTCAAAATGGCAGAAGTAATGAAATTCACAGACAAGAGTCTGAAAAGAACGATTACAAACATTTTTATTAGGCTAAAGAATCTAAATGAAAACATGAACATGAGAAAAAGAGAAGTAAATGGTATAATAAAAGACCCAAATGGATCTTCCAGAGATGAAAAATATAGCATCCAAAATGAAAAAAAAAAAAGTCACTGAATTGAACTGAAAAACAGAGTGGATAGTTCAGAAGAAAATATCAGTATGCTTAAAGACATAACAATATAAACTGTGGTAGCCAACCTCCAAGATGGTACCAATGACCCTCAATTCCTGGTACTTGTGTCATCCACTCATCGTGTAATACCAGGATTTGATATGTCTGTGTGATCTTCAGACTGGAGCAGAATTGAAGTTATGTGATTCCTAAGGCTGTCATCAAAGACATTTCCACTTTCGTCTGCTCACTTGGATCACTTGCTGTGAGAGAAGTTAGCCATCAAGTCGCAAAAACACTCAAATGACAGCAACTATGGAGCAGTCCAAATGACAAAGGACAGAGACCTCCTCCCAACAATCAGAACCAACTTATCAACAATCTGAATGAGCCATCTTGGAATGACTGCAGTCCCAAGACAATATCTTGACTGCAACTCGATGAGGGATACTCCAAGCCAGAACCATTAGCTAAGTCATGCCCAAATTCATGATCCACAGAAATCATTTGATATATGTTTATCATTGCTTTAAACTATTAAGTTTTAGAATAATTTGTTGAGCAGCAACAAATACCTAATTCAAAGACTACTTAAATAAATAGCATAGGGAAAAAAAGTTTTTTAGAAAGGCTTAGTGGAATAATATCAAGCAGAGTAAAATACATGTAATTGGAGTCCAGAATAAAAGGTGAGAATTGAAGTAGGGGAAAAAAAATATTTGAAAAAATGTGGCTAAAGTGTTTCTAAATTTGATGACTACAAACCCAGAAATCCTAGAAGTTCAGTAAAAGCAAAGTAAAATAAACATTTACAAAACTATTCTGCTTTTCTCTCCCATGATGGAAGATTAGAGGCTTTTCTAGCCTGCCTCACCTACTTGGAAGAAGCAAAACAGTGTGTAGAGATTCACACTGCGATCTTTTATTCAAGAAGGAACATGAGAATTCAACAGAAAAGCAAAGGACACTTCAGATCTCAGGAAAGGGAAGGTAAGCAGGCAGTCTGCACAGCAGCATCTGGCTGAGAAATGTGAGTGAAGACCCAGTACATGAGAAGGGGAGGCAGTGTCCTTCTGGAGTTAGTCCATTCTCTCACTGCTGTAAAAAAAAAAAAAAGACCGGGGACTGGGTAATTTATAAAGAAAAGGGATTTAATTTGTTCACAGTTCTGCAGACTACACAGGAAACCTAGCAGGTTCTGCTTCAGGGGAGGCCTCAGGAATCTTCCAATCATGGCAGAAGTCAAAGGGGAGCAAAGGATCTCATGTGTCAGAAGCCGTAGCAAGACAGAGTGAAAGAGGAGATGCTGCACACCTTTAAACAACCATATCTTATGAGAACTCGCTCCCTAGCACAAGAACAGTGCGGAAAGGATGATGCTAAATCATTCATAAGAAATACACTCCCATGATCCAACCGTCTCCCACCAGGCCCCACCTCCAACACTGTTGACTAGAATTTAACATGGGACTTGGTGGGGACACAGACTCAAAACGTATCACTCTACATTCCACCTTTCCATTGGGGAACTGTGCCATTCAAGGCACAGTAAAGTACCTTGTTCCTCCCAAGCCCTGGAGCTAACTGGGGGAAAGGCTTGGATACTGTGAGAAAGAAAGAAACTGAGAAGTACCCTAGGCATTTTCTCATATCTGGGACCCAGTTGGAGAATACCATTCTCCATCCTTGCTCATCCCAAACTGGGTGGGATAGGTATAGCAGCAGTGCCTGCCATGGGCATTAGAGAGTCTTGTGCTGGAGATTGGAGTCCTGGGTCTAAAGTGGTGGAGTAGCTCCCATGGCCAGAACTGAGGAGCAAGTTTAGAGTGTGCTGCAATTATGGGCACTGGAATTGGGCTCTGTCTCTTCATGGGATCAGAGGAGGAGGAAATTTTCCAGAGAGCTCTGGTTTTGCACAAGTGGTGAAATTTGCTGTCATAAACAGCTTTGCAATCTAAAGCCAATCTGTGTACAACTTTACTGAGTGCCCAACCTTGCTCTCTTGGTCGAAACAAGGAAGTGAGCACAGCTGGATCTGAGGAGTGAGAGATAAGTGAGTACCACATCCACTTACCTAGTCTAGGAGCTTGTGCTACCCCTCCCTTCCCATGCAAGGAACTTCATGCAGTGGCTGTTTTTCACTCCTTACCTGGGAATATCTCCAGGCATTTGGCAACTGCCCATCAGAGCAGGTACTTGCACTCACCATTAGGAAACCTGAGTCCAGGCTAGCCCAGTCCAGCTGACCCAGCTTTACCCCCACAATTCCCACTGAGGCTGAGCATAGAACCCAAACCACTGAGCATTCCACAGCCTAGCCCAGTGCCTGGGACACTGGAAAACTTCTCCTGGTAAGCAAAGATCAAGATAAACCCAATTGTACCACCATAGTCATCTCTTACCTACAAGTGCCACCTACTGGCCTGGAGGTCAAGCAGCACAACCAAATAAAAAATCCACTGACACAACTGCACAGCAATTGGGAATGACAGAAGCTTCTGTGGCCTCCACCCCTCCAGCTTCTCAGGAGACCATAAGCCTGCTCACCAACCTGGTACACAGCTACTATAACTGGCATTTGAGAAAGCTACCAAACTAAGGTTACCTGTAACTAGTCTTTGCCACTGAACACACTCAGAAGCAAAGCGAAATGGCCCTCCTCAACATACCTTATAGTCACATGCTTAAGGAAGAATTTAAAAGTCCCATCCATGGCTGGGGAATTGATGTGGAGGTCAGAGTGGAAGCAGGTATGAGAAGCTCCAGCAGAAGGAAACATGACTGCCAAAGTGTTTGAGTTCATCAGCAAGTTTGGCTCAGCCTCAGCTGTTGCAAGAGATGTGGCAATTGCTGAGATATTTCATCACCACCAGGCCTGTCTTACAAGAGCTCCTGAAAGAAGCACTAAACACAGAAAGGAACAGCCAGTACCAGCCACTCCAAAAACATACCAAATGGTAAAGACCATCAACATAATGGGGAAAATGCATCAACTAACAGGCAAAACATCCAGTTAGCACCAAAATGGCAGGGTCAAATTCACACATAACAATATTAACCTAAAATGTAAGTGAGCTAAATGCCCCAATCAAAAGACAGAGACTGGCAAATTGGATAAAAAGTCAAGACCCATCGGTGTGCTGTATTCAGGACACCCATCTCATGTGCAAGGACACACATAGGCTCAAAATAAATGGATGGAGGAAGATTTATCAAGCAAATGGAGAGCAAAAAAAACAGGAGTTGCTATCCTAGTCTCTGATAAAATGGACTTTAAACCAACAAAGATCAAAAGAGACAATGAAGGGCATTACATAATGGTAAAAGACCAATGCATCAAGAAGAGCTAATGATCCTAAATATATATGCACCCAATACAGGAGCACCCAAGTACATAAAGCAAGTTCTTAATGACCTACAAAGAGACTTAGACTCCCACACAATAATAGTGGGAGACTTTAACACTCCACTGTCAATATTAGACAGATCAACAAGACAGAAAATTAACAAGGATATTCAGAACTTGAACTCAGACCTGGACCAAGCAGACCTAATAGACATCTACAGAACTCTCCACTCCAAATCCACAGAATATACATTCTTCTCAGCACCGCATTACACCTACTCTAAAATTGACCACATAATTGGAAGTAAATCACTCTTTAGCAAATGCAAAAGAATGGAAATCATAACAAACACTCTCTCCAACCACAGGGCAATCAAATTAGAACTCAGAATTAGGAACTATCTCAAAACTGCACAACTCTGTGGAAACTGAACAACCTGCTCCTGAATGTTGACTAGATAAACAATGAAATGGAGGCAGAAATAAAAATGTTCTTTGAAACTAATGATAACGAAGACACAATGTACCAGAATCTCTGGGACACATTTAAAGCAGTGTCTAGAGGGAAATTTATAGCAATAAATGCCCACCAGAGAAGAGAGTAAAGATCTAAAATCAACACCCTATTGTCAAAATTGAAGGAGCTAGAGGACCAAGATCAAAAAGAACTCAAAAGCTAGCAGAAGACAAGAAATAACTAAGATCAGAGCAGAACTGAAAGAGATAGAGATACAAAAAATCCTTCAAAAAAAATCAATAAATCTAGAAGCTGGTGTTTTGAAAAGATTAACAAAACAGACAGACTGCTAGCCAGATTAATAAAAAAGAAAAGGGAGAAGAATCAAATAGATGCAATAAAAAATGAAAAAAAGGATATCACCACCGATTCCACAGAAATACAAACTACCATCAGAGATTACTACAAACAACTCTATGCACATAAACCAGTAAACCTGTAAGAAATGAATAAATTCCTGGACACTTGCACCCTCCTAAGCCTAAACCAGGTAGAAGTTGAAATGTGGAACAGACCAATAACAAGAACTGAAGTTGAGGCAGCAATTAATAGCCTACCAACCAAAAAAGCCCAGGTCCAGATGGGTTCACAGCCGAATTCTACCAAGGGTACAAAGAGGAGCTGGTACCATTCCTTCTGAAACTATTCCAAACAATCCAAAAAGAGGGAATCCTTCCCAAATCATTTCATGAGACCAACATCATTCTGATACCAAAATCAGGCAGAGACTCAACAAAAAAAGAAAACTTCAGGCCAATATCTATGATGAACATCAGTGCAAAATCTTCAATAAAATACTGGCAAACCAATTGTAACAGCACATCAAAAAACTTATCCACCACGATCAAATAGGTTTCATCCCTGGGATGCAAGGCTGGTTCAACATACACAAGTCTATAAATGTAATCCACCACAAAACAGAACCAAAGACAAAAGCCACAAGATTATCTCAATAGATGCAGAGAAGGCCTTCAACAAAATTCAACAGCCCATTATGCTAAAAATTCTCAATAAACTAGGTATCAAAGGAACATATCTCAAAATAATAAAAGCTATTTATGACAAACCTACAGCCAATATCATACTGAATGGGCAAAAACTGGAAGCATTCTCTTTGAAATCTGGTGCTAGACAAAGATGTACTCTCTCACCACTTCCATTCAATATAGTATTGGAAGTTCTAGCCATAGCAATTAAGCAAGAAAAAATAAATAAATAAAGGGGATTCAATTAGGAAAGGAGGAAGTCAAATTGTCTCTGTTTGCAGATGACATGATTGTATATTTAGAGACCCTATCATCTTAGCCCAAAATCTCCTGAAACTGATAAGCAACTTCAGCAAAGTCTCAGGATACAAAATCAATGTGCAGAAATCACAAGTATTTCTATACACCAATAACAGACTAACAGAGAGCCAAATCATGATCAAATTCCCATTCACAATTGCTATAAAGAGAATAAAATACCTAGGTATACAACTAACAAAGGATGTAAAGGACCTCTTCAAGGAGAACTACAAACTGCTGCTCAAGGAAATAAGAGAGTACACAAACAGATGGAGAAACGTTCCATGCTCACGGTTAGGAAGAATCAATATCGTGAAAATGGCCATACTGCCCAAAGTAATTTATAGATTCAATGCTATCCCCATCAAGCTACCAATGACCTTCTTCACAGAACTGGAAAAAAAATCACCTTAAACTTCACATGGAACCAAAAGAGAGCCCACATAGCCAAGACAATCCTAAGCAAAAAGAACAAAGCTGGAGGCCTCATGCTACCTGATTTCAAAGTATACTACAGGGTCACAGTAATCAAAACAGCATGGTACTGGTATCAAAACAGAGATATAGAACAATGGAACAGAAGAGAGGCCTTGGAGGCAACACCACACATCTACAACCATCTGATTTTTGACAAACCTGACAAAAACAAGCAATGGGGAAAGGATTCCCTGTTTCATAAATGGTGTTGGGAAAACTGGCTAGCCATGTGCAGAAAGCAGAAACTGGACCCCTTCCTGACACCTTACATTAAAATTAACTCCAGTGGATTAAAGACTTAAACATAAGACCCAACACCATATAAACCCTGGAAGAAAACCTAGGCAAAACCATTCAGGACATAGGCATAGGCAAGGACTTCATGACTAAAACACCAAAAGCCAAAAAGACAAAAAAAAAAAAAGCCAAAATAGACAAATGGGATCTAATTAAACTCCAGAGCTTCTAAACAGCCAAAGAAACAATCATTAGCATAAACTGATAACAAATAGAGTGGGAAAATATTTTTGCAATCTACCCATCTGATAAAGGGCTAACATCCAGAATCTACAAAGTACTAAAACAGATTTATAAGAAAAAAAGAAAGAAACCCATCCAAAAGTGGGCAAAGAATATGAACAGACACTTTTCAAAAGAAGACATATATGAAGCTAACAAACATGAAAAAATGCTCAACATCACCGGTCATTAGAGAAATGCAAATCAAAACCACGTTGAGATACCATCTCACACCAGTTAGAATGGCAATCATTAAAAACTCTGGAGACAACAGATGCTGGAGAGGATGTGGAGAAATAAGAACATTTTACTCTCTTGGTGGGAGGGTAAATTAGTTCAACCATTGTTGAAGACAGTGTGGTGCTTCCTCAAGGACCTAGAAATAGAAATTCCATTTGACCCAGCAATCCCAATACTAGGTATATACCCAAAGGATTATAAACCATTCTACTATAAAGACACATGCATACCTATGTTCATAGCGGCACTGTTTACAATAGCAAAGACCTGGAACCAACCCAAATGCCCACCAATGATAGACTGGACAAGGAAAATGTGACACATATACACCATGGAATACTATGCAGCTATAAAAAATGAATTCTTGTCCTTTGTAGGGACATGGATGAATCTGGAAATAATCATTCTCAGCAAACTGACACAAGAACAGAAAATCAAACACTGCATGTTCTCACTCATAGGCCAGTGTTGAACAATGAGAATAGAGGGACACAGAGAAGGGAGCATCACACACTGGGATCTGTTGGGCAGGGGCCAAGGGAGGGACAGTCGGGCGGTGGGGAGGTCAAGGAGGGATAACATGGGGAGAAATGCCAGATATAGGAGACGGAGGGATGGAGGCAGCAAACCACATTGCTATGTGTGTACCTATGCAACAATCCTGCATGATCTGCACATGTATCCCAGAACCTAAAGTACAATTTTTAAAAAAAAGAAAAAAAGGAGGGCACTGAGATTTTACATGCTCATAATTATGCATTAGTGTAAATTATGTACATGCATACTGAAATTTAAAGTCATTTTTTAAAACTATCCTTTCCTTTTCCATTTTTTTTATTGCTTTAATATAACTCAAATGGCTGATCTTTTGAGATTAAATGATCTTTTGGTTCCCTTCATCTCTAAACTCTGATTTTGTGACATAAATAATGTTGTCTTATCTATCTCTTGTTTGTCATTTTCTATTTCTAACCCATGGTTGACTTGTCACTGATTAAAGTTCCTGATGTACTACAATAGCCTGTGGACTATTAATTATACTGAATTCAGGTTAACTAAATTATTAATAATTTATTTCTAACCTTTATATCAACCAAAGCAACTTGTTCTTTGACATCATTAATTTAAATTTACATGAAATAGAAGACATTTTATTACTGTTAGAGTGATAAAGTTATGAATATTTTTCTCAGGACAGGTATTGGATCTAATCCAAAAATTTGAAACTGAAGCTTTCAACCTAAGACATTTTCCCATTGTAATTGCGTACCCTCATTTTTCTAAGAGGTGATTTAATTTTTTCCCTCTCTTCTTATTTCCCCTGTTCCCTATGTCCTACTCAGCCCTTTAGAAACACAAACATAACCTTTCATCTCCCCATCACC